CCCCCCCCCCCCATTTTTCTTGCGGCGCGTGCCTGACAACAAAGCGAAGCAGCAGTTTCAAGCCTTCCTCTCGCGAAGCTGCTGCATTCATCACGACGATCACGAAGGCGACGTCGATTTACGGGCGGCTTGCTGCAGTGGATGTGCAGAGAGCAACAAAAGAGCACTCCAGTGGTAAATGTGTGTCCCGAGATAGTGCCGGTGTGCCCAGAGGTTTGACCGGCATCATCACACAGCAGTCTATACCGGACACCCGGCACTATTCAGGGATAATTAGGTTTTACGATAGGAGTTGACACTCGTGCTAGGTGTGGCCGGCACTATACCCGGCCCCGGCACTATTCGACAGCTACAGCGGAACACCTATACTGCTGTATGTACAAGAAAATACGCGACGCTGCCTGTGGTCCTGTACCCCCCCCCCCCCCCCNCCCCCCCCCCCCCCCCCCCAACGATTTCACATTATTTTATCGGCCCCCAACTCACAGCCGACCTCTTCTGCCCAGCAACAACAACCCACAACAGCTTGAGGGTTTTCATAATCGCTTCAGTGCAACAGGAGGGGAGGGACAAGCTTGGAGTCCAACGGGTGTGGTTTGCCTCTAGGGGTGTGAAGATACTATTTTCAGAGCTACAGCAGCAGGCAAGATGTCTCCGCTACCTGCCAGCTGCGTCTGCCGTGAATGACTACGCATTTTGCAGCGGTTGTAGCATGGTTGCAATGCCTAGGTTGGTCGATACATGCAATTACCTGCGAAGTCGAGGTGTCTGATATGGACCCTGTGTACCGATTTCGTTGTTGGTCTTCGGTCTGGCTGTGTTGGTTTCCAAGTAAGACTCTTAACTCAGCTGCTGCTGTGGTCCAATGATGGCGTGCAACATCGGAACATCCCCCAAATGCTGAAAATGTGATTCCGCCGCGTTATTCAACACTGCTGTGCATACCATCTCTTGCGAGCTTGCGAGCATGCCCATGCGCCGCTTCGTTTTCTATGGCGTCGGTCCGTTCAAAGCCTCCAAAAACCAACACAGCAGGTGTTGGTGTGCGCATGTGACTCCGATGTGTCAAAATATAGATTTTCTGGGCAGTGTACATCTTTGGAGTGAGGATAACTGCTAAATGGTGTATATGCCGTATCACAGATAGTTTACGAAGTGAGCTGCTGCGCTGCCCCAGCTCCTCAAGTCGACGTAACGCTGTACTATTGGTCAGGTTTTCTGGGAGATCGACGACGAACAACAGATGCAGGCCCAAAACCCAAACCACAAATAATGGCAGGGCCGACACGAGCATTGCAATGGTCTCTTTCTGGCGGGGACGAAGCAGAGACAGACGCGGACGTTGCAGGCGGTGTAACATTGTTCACACTCGCATCTCCATTCACGACGCCCGGACTACTCTCTGATCATTCGGGCAGGCAGTGCGCTGTGACACGATTGGTGTAACAGCAGTTTGCGCCCACACTTGGTGGTTTAAGAAATTGATAAGTGACTAAAAATACTCGCAAGTCTAAGAACTTGAGCACCGTTTGTGAGCTGGGTAAGAACGCGAAAACTCAAGGGGCGGAGAGATGCCATCCCTCTAGACCGACTTTCAAAGCTCGAATACTCCACAAAAAAGGGGGGGGCGGTGTACT